CCACGTTTACTTTTGCTTTCATCGAGAAAGAGAAGACATGTCGGCCAATTGGCCTCCCGAAGGTTTTCACCAACTGGCGTCATTTTTCCTCTCCGATTCCAGCGAGGAATAATTTTGTTATTATTTTTTATATTTTGTTTGTGCTTTGAAGTTTCTCTAGCGGTTAGATTTATTTTCCGGGATAGGGTTGCTAGGTTGCTCTATGCCCAACCGTCCCTCTTTATTAGGGCTTAGGACCGGCTAGTAACTAGTGAACTAGTTAACCAGGGTACATTCAACTATCCAGTCCCAGATAGGATGATACACACATTCTGGATTCCAAATGCTAACCTCCAGGTAAGTTACAATAGTTATGAATAATGAACTAGTGAACTAGTTAACCAGGCGAGGTTATGAATAATATACACTGTAGTAATATATTTTGGCTCCAAAAAGAATTAGTGAAACTTAACATTAAGAGTTGATTAGTGCAATACATAAAAAGGAGTATGATGTTTTCATTGGCACCTACCTAGCTAGGTGATGAGATACTCTAACAAAATACCTTAAGAAACAGAAACAAAATAAATATGTACTAATGATGATCATTATAAGAAATTTTGATAACAAATGTTAATTAAGAACAAAGGTCTTATTAAGTTTATTACATCTATCTGGCCGCAATTGATTTTTATAGTCCTGTTACCTCATATTCTTTATTTTTATTGGTAGTAAGATTTTCTATGTCTCTGGTGTAGGTGTAGCGTCATTCCTATAACAGATGTGCTAGGGAGTTGATTTGACAAACAAAGATTCAGTGCTCATCTCGCAACCCAAATGTAAATCGTTTCTCCAGGATTGGTCTTCAACGGTGCCTCAGCTAACAATAGGGAGTGTAGTGATTGAGTGTGTCGACCACTTCACTTACCTGGGAAGTGGGATCACCTCTGCCCTGGGGGCTCAGTGGCCGATGAAATCTCTGCACACATACAAAAGGCTCGACTGGCTTTCGCCAACTTACGCCACCTATGGCCCCACTGTAATATCTGATTGTCTATTAAGGGTTGCGTGTACTGTACAGCAATTCGCTCTGTTCTACTGTATAGCTGTGAAACATGGTCATTCAAGGTGGAAGACATAAGAAGGCTTCAGGCGTTTGACCACCGTTGCCTTCGTAGTATAGGCCGTGTTTTGTGGTGTCACCCGGTGAGTAACGCAGAAGTCAGGTGTAGAGTTTTTGGGAGAAGAGGTAAGTCACTTGATTCGGTTATGTACCTTCATCGACCGAGATGGTCGGGACATGTGTTATGTATGTCTAGTCACCGTCTTGCTCGTCACACAATGTTGGCCGAATTAGGGTTAAGCGGGAAAAAGGTTCGAGGTGGCCACACTGAAACATGGCATTAATGTATGAAGTGTTTGACTGTTGGCTTGAGCCATGTGGGGCGATGCAGACTAGCCGGTCGGGGTCCACGGGACAAGAGGAAGCAGTGTTTAGAGACTGGTTTGTGGTGGGTGATATGGCTGGGAACCGATGTCAGTGGTGCAGATGTATACACACATTATCCTCATATTAACGACGCTATCCCGAATCTCACCATTTTCTCATTCTTCGTTTCTCTCTCTTTTCATACTTTATATTTCTTTTGACTGAATTTTCGTTTCTTCATTTTCCACTTAGTTGCCCTTTTACTTGATGTACTGATATGATGTGTGTGGACTTGGACCGTTACGCAGTAATGCCTGGTCCTATGTTGATTTGGGTGGATGAATGGGCTTTGAAAGGTAATTCCCTAAATTTTAATGAGAAGTCGTGACCACTAGTGGCTAACCAAGTCGAACATCAGGACAGCTACTCAACGATTTCATTGAGTGAAAGTCTCACTATACTGTGAACTGATAGAAGCAGAAAATATGGATCAGTGGATTCCGACCCAGTGGGTCAATGGTGACGAGCTGGCCGCGGAGGCGGGCCGTTTTAGGTTCGATTCCTGCTAAGGTAATGAGAGCCCACCACTGAGGAGTCACTCACTTGGACGAAACAGCCGTCCAGTGCTCTCATGTTCCAAATTTTTTTCCATGTGATGTTAGCCCATGATGAGTGCCAATCTGAAAGATCCAGTAATCAATCTCTCTCTGTACCTAATTATATTTGACTTAAGCACAATGGCTCTATCCCACCCTAATGTGTGTTAATGCATGCATTGCAATATCCGAGTTTTTTCTAGTTTATTGACCTTATTGGGATCTGTATATTTAGCTGAAATCCTGTTCCGCTATTCAAACTGACCCTGACCGGCTAGTCTGACCTTCTTACTTGACCTCACAGTCATTACGTGGAATTAGATTAGATTATTTTGCTCAGTTGGTTCTGTCGAACGCTTAAGCCAGCTGATAAAGCTTATCTCTGAGTGAGTTTGTAGGTTTTAATGCCACTCTAACTGCAGCATTGTCGATACTTCTACGTAAAGTTACTAATGATCCTTCCTTATACAATGGGAGCTGTGAGCTTCTTTCTACTGGTGTTGTCGTTATTATTCATGCTCGTATTATTGTTATTATTTCGTTTCTTATGTGTTCGTACGATTTACCTATTAAATGGTAGAGTATAATTACTAACTATTAGTGCTTGTTGTATGTACTTCCACTCTTTGTTCTAGGTCTTTTCCATTGACTAGTGAATTGTCTAGCTCTATTATTTTAACATTTGACTAAACCCACCTTAACTGACATTGGATGAGGTGACCTAAGGTCTAGATGTCTGTCGGAATGTAACGGCTTCTTACAGACGGTATCTTATGTGGAATTACATTTTACCACAGTACTCAAGTCTTACAATTTTATTAATGAGGCTTATTGTTATCGGACGTAAACTAATGTGCTAGACTACATATTACTGCTTTCGTTTAAGCAATATAGACAGTTATTTACATATAACAACTTCCGAATCAGTATTGGCATTTGCCTTTCTTTTTTTCGTAAAATGTCCGTTAATTGTCAAGACAAATGTTTTGATTTGACTGTCTTCTCATATCCTTCCCTCGTTTACCTTTTAGTGTGATTATGTCCAGGTCTTTCTGTCGCACCGAATAAAGACTCTCGACTGATCATTCAGTCAATAAATCGATACCTCATCCTTATTGTACATGAATTAAATTAACCCCATTGTAGGTGTTAAGCGTTTGAAGCCTATCGACTGTAAGCAAGGGCTCCAGAATACACATTTGTAAGTGTTCTGTTTAAACGACTTAACAACAACTTCTATTATGATGTTATCCAGTGATACTTTTTTTAATTATTTGGGGATCGTTGATTTTTCTGACAGTATGGACCATTTTTTGTATTCCATACTGTTATTTAACCGGTAGGATCTCCAAGAGTTTTGAAGATTACGTTTAGATACCCTATACTGAATACAATGCATTGTAGGGAGATAATGGTCATTACCCAAAAATCCCCAATTTTTACATCCAGTTTCTTTTTCTTAAGTCCACTAACTGTAGATATTATGGAATATCAAAAGGTAAATTTAGCATTTTATAAAAAAAAAGCTGCATTCTAAACGAAGAATATTTCTTTCCTATAAATTCTCATCAGATTCTACGATTATACAATACATTTGTTGAGCATCAAATCAAGCCAAGTTAGGGCCAATTACATTTTCAAAATGGAATGAGATTTAAGGAAATTGATTTTTCGTTTCTAAATTTTAGGATGATATAAGTATACAGGTGACTAATGTGATGGTAAACAAAGAAACAACAAATAAATGAGGACAGGAAATGACCTTTAGTTTACTGTAAGCCAAGGGAGTCATAATATTTCAACATGATATTTTTGAATGCATAGTCCAGGTTTGATTAGTATTATTGCAAGTCTTAGCTATGTTCAACAGGCACTGGTGTCCTTTGCCGAAAGATGTACAACTTTGAAAGCTTTATTATCATCTATGTGATGCCATGGGTTTACCAGGTGTACTAAGACAAAAAATATTTCACCACTTTCACTTCACCTTGATGAAGATACCGCACCACCAACAACAACAACAAACTCCAATCACTGTCAACGGGAGAAACTTAAAGGAAGGAACCTCCTTCACTTATCTAGGAAGCACTGTTTCAACTACAGGCGGGACGGACGAAGACGTCAAAGTCAGAATCGGAAAAGCAAGACAGGTGTTCATTAGCCTGAAACCAGTGTGGAGATCTTCTGCACTCAGCATGCGGAACAAGATACGGATTTTCAACACCAACCTCAGTCAAGTCAGTGCTTCTGTATGGTTCAGAGACTTGGCGCGTCACGAAAGGGATTTCCAATAAACTACAGACATTCATCAATAACTGCTTACGCTCGCTACTGAAGATGAGATGGCCAGAAAGAATAAGCAACAAGGAACTCTGGGAACGAACCAACCAAGAACCTATCACGCAACAAATATGCAGGAGGAAGTGGAGATGGATTGGCCATGCACTGAGAAGGCCGACTGAGGACATCACGCGTCAGGCCCTCGAGTGGAATCCCCATGGGAAGCGACGAGTTGGACGTCCGAGGGTGACATGGAGAAGGTCGTGCGAGGAGGAAATGAGAGCTTGTGGGCTGTCGTGGAACCAGGTTCAAAAGATCTCAGAGAACAGAGGTCACTGGAGACGTGCTACTGAAGCCCTATGTTCCACTAGGAACTCAAGGGACTAATAATAATAATAATAAAATTCACTTCACCTTTTTCGAACCAAGCATTTTTTTGAGTGTAAGTGTATATGATCAGAGATTTATAACATCAAACTGACTTCGATAAAACTGAATGATAATTGACGCTTAGTTACACATTTGAAGCCTCCACTAATAAACACTAAGGCTCAGAAAATGGGGATATTGTTAAAGGCTTAACAGTCAGGATTGTAAACAAATACAGAATATCAAACTAGCAAAAAAGAAACATAATTTTCTTTACTATGCACCTTACTATATTTGTTAAAAATTTCCTTTGTATGTATGTGTGTGTGTATATGTGTACATTTTAGATGAGAACTGCTCGATCAAAAACGAAAGATGTCAAAATGACGAAAGCATTGTGCATTGCTAAAGAGTCGATCAGCGCTAATCGTACAGTGACAAGTTTATCATTAGAAGACTATTTTTACAAACGTTTTGAATCAGCGTGTAAAGAAGATTTTAAGTAAGTGAACTGAAATATGTATGTGTTGTTGTTTCTTTACAATGTTATATACTTGTTAACTACTGGTCTTCACTTGTAGTAGTTATGTATGAGAAATAATTGTTGATTTTTTTAAAAAAAAACCAAACAAGGTTATAGAGCTTTTTTATTACCATAATTCTACCATTTACTCCTCTGCAGTAATCTATCCATTAGTTGTAGAGTTTCGTTTGAAATTCATTCTATTCATAGTTTTGAAGATTGATGAAGAATTGAGAAAGACAATTAACAGTCTGATTATTCCTCTTATTAGTATGGTCAGTAATGACATAGATCACTTATGTATTTTGAGCTATGGTTAATTGATCTAGGTAGTTAGTTGACTTTTACCCATATCGGTCATGTCCTCGAACCCTGCTCTACCAATCCAGGTTCCAGGTACCGGGTCGTATCACTAGCTTTTACTCAATAAGTTTGATCCATTGCCTATTGCACGATCACATGTACAAAATTGTTGAGTACGTTTCCATTCGATTCTTCTTATATACTAACGAACGGCTGAGTGAATTGCTTTGTGTAAAATAATATGTTGCTTGTAGTATGAAAACTGATAACTCAACTTAGTGTATCATATAGTTTTAGTAGCTGGATATGGTAGCATAAATGACACATTAAAATTGACAAGAAGAAGTTATTATAACCTTCTGATCACTGTTACCACCCAACTGTTCCTTAATACAGTCATTTTAATCTTTACTCTTGAAGACTTTATGCAATATAACTTCATATCTAACTTTTCCACACGCACACACATACTTCATCTTTTTTCTTTTCTATCTCTCTCTCTCTTTGCTATTATACAGATCACAAATGAAAGAGAATGTTGGTTTAGCTGTTGTTCAATCATTCGCTTTATGTGGCCCCGTTCTTAGTTTATGCGCATGTTTTGCATTGGGAATTTATTTAACACAACACAATACTGTTTCGATAGTATCATTATTCAAGTTAGTTTACTGTGTATACATTTTTGATTTGTATTGACTGTCTCTTCATATCTAACTATCATATCAGACCAAAACATAATACTAATTTATGACATCTTGAGTTAGTGACTTTTTTTACTATTAGGAGATATAAGCTAAAAACATCTGTTTATTTAGCTTCACATTGACCATGATGATAATGGTGTGTTCAATATCTCTATCACCGCTTATCGACATCAGTATGCAGTTGTGTACATGGCTCTAGGCTAATTTACCTGCTTATCTATTTCTTCATTGTATCATGATTGGAAAGCCTGTTTAAAAGCTGAATCACTATAGTTATACTCATCCTTTTTCTAGATGATTCATAGCATTTAATACAGTCCTATTGAACCAAAATTATATTAGACGCCTTTCCAAAACTTCATGATTGTATTATATGAATATGTTTTTCTGTAAATAGATAACTGTTTTAAGTACCTTATGTTCAAAGTACAAAGTAACAGTTGAGCTGTTATAATCCTAGTGCTGAATACAAAGAATCCAAAGTATACTTTATTCTTTCTTATAAGTATTTGTTATTATGTCTGAAACAATGAAATAAACAGGAGAATAAAAATATGTGAATTAAAAAGGCATTTCAGAACTAAATTCTCTCTTTCGCTGAACTCAAAGCTATTGTGTTCGTCTTGCTGTCTTTGAATCTGAAAACTGTAAAATGGCCTTCTAAAATGAAATATTTCTCAAATATTACTTAATTATTCATTAGTCCATTGCTTTATAAGAATGATAACATGATGAACTGTTGGAGAAGTTCATCTCCTTCTGAAAATCAATGTATACTAATAAATCCTATTGCAAGTTAAATAAATAAAGTATGAGAAGTCGTGACCGGTGGAGTCAAAGCCTGATGGCCATGAGGACAGATACTCAGCGTTGACATTGGGTGGCGGTTGCGCTATATATCGTGAGCTAACAGAAGTTGGAAATATGGAGCATTGGATTCTACCCAGTGGCTCAATGGTAACGCGCTGGCCGCGGAACCTGAAGGTCGCGGGTTCGATCCCTGCTGGTGGGGTCGTGGGTGCACACTGCTGAGGAGTCCCATACTGGGACGAAACAGCTGTCCAGTGCTCCCAGGTTTTCATTAGTTCCTCCAACTGATGTCAGTCTACGATGAATAACAACTTGAAATAATTCCAAATCTCCACAACTCCCTTAAAATATAACTGACTCGATAATTAATGTATAATTTTCAACACTATCCTACATATCAGTCTGATTTCTACAATCGTTACATAAAGCTCACGCTCGTATTTTTGCCGAAATAAATAAATAAATGGTCATTCAATTTGAAGGTTTACAGAGATTTATTTACTGACTTCAAGTTGGTACTAATCACGGATCGATATCGTTTCCAGAAAAAATTAAAAAGCGAGGAGAACTCTACACATGTTCCGTCCCAGTGTGTTATTCCTCAGTGGTGCGCATCGATGACCCCACTAAAGGTCGAAACCAAGACCTTCAGAGTCCACGGCGAACACGTTACCATTGAGCCATTGATTCAGAATCTAATGGCCCAGATTTTCCTACTTCTGTCACTTTGTGATATAGCGCCGCCTTCATCCTATACTGTCGTTGAGTACCTATCCTCATGTTCAACTTGGTGCTCTCAGGTTTTCAATGATTCTCCAACTGATGTAAGTCTCTGATGAGTATCACCTTGAAATCAAGGGTAATCACAGATTCCCCTCCTATACTACAATAAATTCTTATCATTTCTGGCTTGTAGCTTCTAGATAAACCTCTGATCCACTCAATGGCATGTTTTTGTAATACTCCAAAATATAAGAAACGAACTGTTGTTATAACCATCATTTTCTGTTTAAATGTATCTTATTGAAAAGTGTTATTTCTGGTAATTTTTGATGACTGCTTCACATTTTTATAACTATACTTTTTTATTCCCTTAATTTTTCACTTCTGTTTAGAGTCTATATCACATTCAGTATGTGTTCACAAGCGCTTGGCCGAATAACCGCCTTCACCACAGACACAAAAACAGCTGAAGAAGCTATGAAACGTATATTCACTGTTGTAGATCGTGTACCAGCTATACCAACTAATGAAGGTTATGAGCCTAAAGAGAAATTTAAAGGTCTTATTGAATTTAAACACGTGAATTTCAGGTATCCAACACGACCTGGAGTAAAAGTGATTAAGGTGAGTTGTAGAATTTTCAATTTAGTTTTATGAATGAATAGGAATGCCGGTCTTTGTCACTGTATAGTGATTTACTCGGTTGTGGCTAGCAGAAGAATCCAGGACGTACGTTTTTTCCTACTCGGGATTCGTCGGCTGTATGTACCCCAGTGCGGAGTGATGTTGTTCCCACTGAAACGCGCGCCCTGGATTCCTCTGCTAGCCACAACCAAGTAAATTACCATAATTAACATTCGGGCAATATCGCGGCATCCACATAGGCGCCCATATGCCAATAGAGGTCAGACAAATCGATCGAGTGAAACAACGGAGAATTATAAGCATATCAATAAATATGTCATTGAATGTTAGGCTCAGTATATCACAAACTGATGGAAGTTGAAACATGCAGATCATTAAACTCCACAACAATTCATTAGTTTGTAATGTGCTTGACGTGAAACCTGCAGTTATTGCACTCAATTCTACGTATAGGTATGATTTAAAACTTACTCAACAGTTACAAACTTAAGTAACACATCTATACAGATCTTTTTAGCTTCTAATAGTTGTTTAAGCCAGTACGTGGTGGGAACAATCGTCAGGTTATAGATAATCTTATGTTTGTGTATGCATTGGTGCGTATACAGAAGGGGACTTGGCAAAAAACTCATTGTGGTTTACACTTACTTTCGGTTCTATAGCTCATTGGCTTAAATGCTCAACTTTCAACCAGTAAGTTACAGAATTGAACTTTAGTCCAAACATTGACGTTCAGCAAACCAATTATTGTCACTAACCTTGTATGCGCAATAACTGTTATTTATGGCTTTTAACATAAATTAGATAAATCAGTATAAAACCCTGCACACAAGCGCATTTGCTTAAGCTATCATACTTCACAAGATCATGCCAAGAGGAATAAGCTGGAAGAAGAAGAATATTGCAATAGACAAAAGTGTTTCATAACAGAACGGGATAACATAAGCAGGAACTAGTTAAATATCCTCAACATTTGTACCACTGTCAGACAGACGAAATCAAAGTAGAACCTCGCACATATATGCATCGGTTCAAGTTACCATACTTCACAGTAGTGAACGAAGAAGAGGTGAATACAAAAAGATTGATATCAAAGTAGACGAAGGTGTGTGGATGGAGAAGCAATTTGAAGATGAAAGTTGGTGAAAATATTCAAGCTACAGAAGACGTCAACGATTTAGTACATCTGCACCACTCTCATCAACTTTCAGCCATGTTAACAAGACTCGTCAACCACTGATTCCTATCGTCCCGGAAACCCAGGCCAGATAGTCTACACCTCCCTACACAACTCAGGAACTTCATTCACCAGTGTAACACCTTAGTCTCACTACTCTGAACCCTCTTCCAACTTAATCCAACCTCTTCTAGCATGGCATGTCGACATAGATGGTGACTCGGCATGCGCAACACATGTCCAAGATACCTCATGTTTCCAACTTCATCGAGTGGCTTGCCTGTCTTGATTAGTACCCTTCGCCTGATCTCTACATTGCTCACACAGTGATTACACCGTACGCAAGCAATGTTAAGAAGATACCTATAATGAAAATCTTGTCACCACTTCATATTTTCCACTTTCAATGGCTATGAATCACAGCCGTATAACAGGATAGAATCAATCTCAAGGAAGTATACTCATCCTCTGATAAGTGGTCGGATGTCTCTCCAGTCAACGCCATTGATGACATAAGTTGACAAATGCCAAACGGACTTTCTGTATCCGAGCTGAGATTTCATCAGTGACCATCCCATTCGAACTGATACAACTCCTCAAGTATGTGAAGTGGTCGATTCATTCCGCCACTTCACTTCTTATCCTTAAACTGTGATTTATTTTGAGTCATATCACAGAGAATCTGCAGATGTTAATTATGATCATCGCTTTACCAAATCTTCTCTGTATATTGTTGTTGTTTGTAATAGGTTAAGTAAAAGGGTTACATTACCTTTACTTTCTATAACTACTGATGCTTCATTTTCAGCATGAAAAAGTTGTTTTAAACTTAACTGAAAAGCTAACTAATAAAAGTCATTTAGCACAAATTTTAATGGGAATAAAAGCCACCCGAAATGGTTGTTTACATATGTGTTTATTGACATTAGGGCCATGGTAACAACAACTGTAATAGCCAGTCTAGAAGAAATCAAGGACCGTGATTGGTTATTTCAGTGGTTACTAGGGCCTTTTGAATTACTCCTTGAGTTTTAAAAATATCTTCATAAAAAGCTGGCTGAGTTTGAAATATGAATATGATTGACAGACCTTGTGGGTGGTAAGCAGTGGTGATATTTGTGGTTATGTCGACAGATGTGAGTATTTTATAGTCATATCACCATGAGTCTTGTTATGATCCGAAAACTGCTATGGCCTCTAATAGTGCACAGATATCGACTGTTAGCCACCAAAATTCAACAATTTCCTTTGTTGACCCCCCGACCCGACGTACTGGTGGGAAAGATACGATGGATATGCAGAAACGTGTATTGGAGTCGAAAGACCAAAAACTAAGGATACACCTTGCTGACGAGTCCCAACAAGCACGAAACCCAGGTCCAGGACTTCCTGCCGATTGCCTTCAACCAACTAACGGGTAGAACTAATCTCTAGCGAACTATTCATTTAACATCAGATATTCATCAACTCTGTGATAAGTGGTTCTCTAATTGAAAAGTACATTCAAATCAAATTAATTCTTAAAAACTACATCAGTTGGATTCATTGTTTGCTAATGCCTATCTATGCAGTCAAAGGCGTGTTTCTTTCGATCAACCACTCGTCAGCTGCATACATTCCCGAATAATATTCAGATTTGGTCAAAGAGAATATATTGAGTAACATGTTAGTGATGAACGATAAGCATAACTTGAACTGTCAATTAAAATAAAGTGAAATTTGCAATATTAATTTATCTTTATTATTCTCTCTTTGTTTCTCGATCGTTATTATTATTATTATTATGTACAACATCTTGTGTAGAACTTTTCTCATCGTATTAAACCTGGAACAAAAGTTGCAATAGTTGGTCAATCAGGTTGTGGTAAATCAACTCTAATCCAATTATTACAACGTTTCTATGATCCATCTGATCATGGTCAAGAGAATGGAATATTTTTTGATGGAATGAATATTCGTCAGTTAGCACCATATTGGATAAGAAGACAAATTGGGATTGTTTCACAAGAATCTATACTTTTCAACTTGAGTCTACGTGAAAATATCGCTTATGGTGATAATAACCGAAATGTATCAATGGATGAGATTATAGAAGCAGCAAAATTAGCAAATATACATGATTTTATATTATCTTTACCTGATGTAAGTGCATTGAACATTTTTTTCTGACTGAATTTTTTCCCCTGTATATACGGAAATCTATCGATCAAATCCGTAAAGTGATAAGTACTGAAATTCAGTGACACAATATTAGGTGTTTGTGAAATATCAATTCACTAGTGAAGTTTCATTTGAATGATTAACGCTTACCATAGTGAGGAATGATTCATGCAGCAGAATAATCGACCAGGTATGATAAGAAATTGATTAGAAGGTAGACAACTGGTACTGTGATATGTACCTAAAAGTAATTTAACATCAAATGGATTTAGGTCCCCACATATTAGGTGAACTTTGCGTTTTCTTTGACGCATCATTCAAAGTCAACTAACATTTCTCAGTAATGAAACAATAGCTCAAATGTAGTAGTTATCATTATCATCAAGATCAACGTAAGACTAAGCATTACTGCGTAACGGCCTAAGTTGCTCATCTCGTATCAGTACATCAAGTAAAGTGGGGGATGAAAAAGGAAAGAAAACTCGGTATAAGGAAGTGGAAGTAGTAAAAGATAGGAATAAAGAATGAGAAAATGATGAGATTAAGTACACCAGTTAGGATGAGGATAATGTATGTATACATCTGCACCACTGACATCGTTTCTCAGCCATAGAGTCTTCAACTACTGATTTCTCTTGTCCGGTGGACCCCAACCGACTAGTCTAGATCGCCCTAAATGGCTGAAACCAACAGTCAGGGACTGTTGATGCACATTGATGCCATGTTTTAGTCGGGCCACTCTGGGCCTTTTTCCAGCCTGAATCTACTTCGACCAACATTATGTGACAAGGCAGACGGTGGCTAGACATACGTAACACATGTCCCAACCAACCATCTCAGTTGATGAAGGTTCACAATCGAATCAACTGTCCTACCTCCCTTCCCCCTCTTCCGTAAAACTCTGCGTGTGACTTCTGCGTTACTCACGTGGTGACACCACGGAATGTGGCCTATACTACGAAGGTAATGGTGGTCAAACACCTGAAACCTTCTCGTGTCTTCTACGTTTGATGCCCATATTTCACAACCACACAGTAGAACAGAGTAAACCAAATACAGCACACTCGTTCTTTATTTGACAATCGGACATTGCGGCGGCGCCGGAGACGGCATAAGTTGGCAAAAGCCAACCGAGCTTTTTGCATCCGTGTAGAGATTTCGTTGGGCACTGAGCCACCAAGGCAGGGCTGATCCTACTTCCCGAGTAAGTGAAGTGTTCAACACGCCCAACCACTTCACTCTCTGTTGTTAGTCGGGGCATCGTTGAAGACCAGTCTTGGAGTCACAATTTGGATTTGGGTGGCAAACAGTCGCCCCAGGACTGGTTTTCAATGGTACACCAAATAACAATGTAGTAGTGACTTCATACTAAGCAGTCTCATCAGCCGGCATTGAAGCAGGTTGAACTTGCAATAAAATGCAGAAACTTGATTTTATCGATTGTTTAAACTAAAATACTGAGGAAGTGTCATCTTATACTACTTCGATCTGTAGATTTAGCTAAATATATATGACAGAATAAATAAAATGACGAGACTGTTATCCCAAGAAAGGCCTATTAAGTCTTTAGGCTAATACACTCAACCTTGGTACAAATGGTTAATCATATATTTATGACGTAATGTCGTAGACAACGAAGAGTGATTCAGCGAATAGGTCGAAAATGGTCTTATTCAAGTTTGTGCTAAGAGAGTGACAAGCAGTTGACATTAAGATACTTTTCGATCCAAAATTAACAATGACGGACTAGGCATACACATTACACAATGACTGGCTGGTTACTCAACAGTTCAGTGATCTTCGTTTTGCACATATAAAGATGGATTTTTTCTATGCTAAGATAAAAACTTCACGCATTGACTAGACTCCATAGAATGATCATCTGTATTTTGTTCGGTTGAATACTTTGATGAAATAGAATTGAGGGGGATACACTAACCAAAATCATCGTCATGATAATGAAGGTTCAAATAATCCATATTTACAATGCAGTTCTCTGGCATAATTAGATATCCGGCAGTTTTCCAATTCTTCCTAACGTTGAACAAAATTCTGCAAGTGTGAGGTCAGAAAAACTCCAAGAAACGATTGTCTACCTCCACATGTACTTTACCATGCTTGTAAGTTAAGGAAAGCCTCATGGAAAACATTGATAATCTATTCAAACAGGTATCAAGGGCAAATTAGACCTAAGAAATGCCAAAACATTTTGTGATAATTATAAATAAATCAGCCTGAATAAATTGTCGGTCAACTGGAGATAAAGAATGATAGCCTGAAGAGTAACAAGCGAGTTTTGTTTTACTACGAGGATGCATAAATTAAAGCCGAATTCCCTGACCTAGTGGAATCACTTGGATTCGTTGATCAAGAAGTTTAGTATGCTAGAAAAAAAGAGGGAATTGATGAAAAAATATACCATCCCACTATAGATTCTGTTCTTGAATGTATATAGTCATTTAGCAGTCTATGAACACTTGTCATCTGATTTGACAGTAACCAACGCTATCCGTTATCACCGTTTCTGCCCAACTCCACGATAAACGTACCAATGAAGATGATTTTGCTTTCTTCTAAGTTCCTAGTCTGAAGGTACTGGTATTCACTTCTTTTAGAAAATAAAACAATATAGCAGCATAATATGTACCAATGAACTGATTGATATTTATCAACCTTTTTTTAATATTTTTTTTCTAGGCATACAATACTCTAGCAGGTCAAGATGGTTCTCAATTATCTGGTGGGCAAAAACAACGTATTGCTATTGCACGTGCATTAATCAGAAAGCCAACTTTATTATTACTTGATGAAGCAACATCAGCTTTGGATAATGAAAATCAACGTTTAGTACAGAAAGCATTGAATGATGCAATGTTAACACGTACTGCTGTTGTTGTAGCCCATCGATTAAGTACAATTGAAAATGTTGATTTAATTATTTGCTTAGCTAATGGACGTGTTAATGAATATGGAAAAATAGATGAATTACTTGCAAAAAAAGGCGAATTTTATAATTTATATAAATCATCAGACGATAAATGAATAGAAAGAAAATGAAGTAATCAATACATTGTCGATATTCATAATCAGAAAAAATTTTCCAAAAAAGGTTTTTACTACTTAATTGCATATAAACAGAGTGTCCAGTACGTATTAAAATTAAACATTATTTTGTTTATTATTAAATCATCTTTTAATTTTCTTGATTACACTTTATTCTTCTTCTCTAGAACATATACAAAACACACATTCAAAAATACAACTGCCTATACATTTATATATCATTCTTCTTCCCCTCAAACGATATTCCGTTATTGTAAGACAATTATTCAATGATTATATAAAAAAAATTACATTATGCAGATATTTCTACATTTTGTTTATTTGTCATGAATGAATTAGTGGTGAGCCATCATTAAGTCATTGTGTCCTTGAGGCAACCAATCAGAAGTATTTTGACGGAAAATCGTATCCAAATTCTTCAATATATTCAAAATGACATTGAACGTTGACTAGTAACTCATTTTACAAACAAGACGAGTGTCGTTTAAAATATCAGTACAAAAGTGTCAGCATTAAGAATAATGACTAGGATAAAAAATTTATAACTGCGTATTTCTATCATACATGAATACTAGAAAAGTGTATTGAGCTGTAAAAAAGCTGAAATAATAAGCCTGTTCGAAAGATATTAGAATTTTATTATTATGTATGCATTAAGGTAAATCTATATTTCATTTAAGTTTGTTTGCTTGAAATACAATGATTCAAATCATTTGATTTTACTACACGGAGAACATTATGGTTACAAGTAATAATAATAATATATTTCGAATAGTGAATTATGCGAACACATACCATTTTTACAGGCAATATCTAAATGTTATTTCCTTATTGAAGCTGTGAAAGTTTAGAAAGAAACAAATCATCATGCCATACAAAGTCTTCTAGAGTAAACGATTGTTTAGATATTGCTTGTCACAAATATTGGATAGGAGCGATATAATCACTCACTATGAGAAGCAATAGTGAGTCATGCAATCTATGAGAGTATATTACATATCGAATGTTGAGAACAAATCAATCCCCAGAGTCCTCTGTATTCAATAAGTTTGTACTATCTACAGATGGCAAGAGAAACTGGAATGGACGGCGGACATAAATTTGGACCTGGTAGTGCATGCTGTCATGCAGAGTGCGGCAATTGTTTAGGTCTACAATGTTGTAAACAGTTATTTGAATAAGTAAAGCCAGGGATGCAATTCTATACAGCTGCTGTTATCATATTATGGTGGAGAATATAAGAGGTCTCACCACCCAACCATTCAATAAGACTCCGAGGTCGGCGCGGTATTTGAGGTCACTCTCGGTTAGCTTCATTTTCAGGTGAGTGGTTGTCAGGAGCGAAATAACTCGCATGTTCGGACGCTAATGGCTTTTTATACCAACATTTCTAGTTGCTCTCCTAATCGGAGCTATATATTTGGAAGAGGTTATAGTCTGGGATGAATTGTCTAGCTCCTGGTGATTTTGCATCTCTAGGTGGTAAAAGATGATAGTTCTCACGTGTTGAGTAGAAGTTCGAAGTGTATCTCGGTGCTCAGTGTGTTGGTATGATCTGCCATCATAATCTGCATATCGGGTGATAAAGAAAAACATACAGGCATGAGAAGTGAAGTTAGTTGTCTTAGAATTTGGGGAAACAATATTGAAGACTAGAGTATGTAAAGAGGATACCAGGAGTAAGGAGCTATATAGCTCTATATTCCACTTGTAGAATACCTTTGAATTTTTATGTAGTACATTTCTCGCATCCTAGTTTAAGCTGTATTACAAATGCTTAAAGATGGTGACTTTGCTTTGCATTTGTGTGCCAGTGAGAGCTTTGATATACACTTACAGAGTTAGAGGAAGATAGTTACTATAATCCTAAGAGAAGGTAGGGTGGAGGACGTATATTGGGTCTAATGACCTCAGATAAGGGTGGTTTCCCTAAGTCCCCACCATCAGATCTACCATCTAAGGTTAAGCATTTCTGCTTTCTCCCCCCCCCCCTTAGCATCTACTCTCTTTGCTAACCATAGTAATACGGCTGGCATGGAGGAGGTTAGAGATTGTTGCACTAGTCATCAGGTACCCGATGTTATTCATAGTCTTTGTTGTGCTGTCTCTTCGCATATTCAAAGGCCTCAACCACTGTTGGACATCTCATAGATAATGGTGGTTACCATAAGTCTCCGCCATCTCGTCTTGTCAAGCTGTTTTTATATTTCGAATTATCTCACGACCTGTCTCCGATACTCTTGTAACATATCATAAAATTTATTTTGAAGGAACTTCTTTTCCTTTTGCTAATCATAATGTTTCTTGAAGAAGCCTATGACCACTACATGTTCGCTTTAGCATTGCAGAGTAGAGGTATGTGGGTAGTTGGTCTGCAAGATACAACTAGAATGAGATCAAAGTCAGAAATATAAGTTCTAGTGATGAGTAAAAGATTTATTTTTCATGGCTCAGTATTACGTAAGTCCTGAAAAATTGATTTCACAAACCTCAATTTATAAGTGTGAAATTTTTTTTTAGCTTGTATTCAGTTGCGGAACCACTGAAGATCTAGGGGCACCGGAGAGCTGTTTCGTCCTGCTGTGATGCTCCAGTTTTGTATAAAACATTATTATTGATCTGAACATTTTAACGTGTCATTTCCACACCATTTTTACGGTATGAGTAGTAGTCTACTTTCTCTTTACTCTTACTATGCAAATACCTCAAATTGAGGACAAGGTCATTTTTCATGTTTATACTTATCCACGTGTTTTGGATTGATTTATAATTATATTCTCGGAGTTATTCACTCTCCCATCTACCAGCTTCGGTCTTCTCTCTATTCGTTCCACGGTTGCAGTCAGTGACTCTTGCATACTAAGTTAGCTGTCAGCTAAGCGTGCGTAGTATATTCGTTCCGGAATATATATATAACCATTAGCGTTCGAAACCATAACACGTCCAAGTACGGAACTCCTCAGCAGTGTATGCTCATCACTTCGTTGTAGAACGAACCCCGAACCTTCAGGTTTCAAAGTACACTGAAGCAGAAGAAATTGAGACGGTGGGAGGTCGACAGGGAACATATTACCACATACACTATTTCTTTGTGAAATTAAAAAATGGTTTAGAAAATATTTATTGATACTTGTGACCTCCCGTTATTATGATGAGTCGAATTGTTTGACTTCAGTTAGCGTATGAGCTCCTATGCAGAGGCTTCGAAACTGGATGAAGGTTTCATCCTTTCTGGGACTCGTCGGCTGGATGTATCTGCACCCCCAGTAAGCGGTTGTCTTGAGACTCGAACCCACTACCCATGGCTTAAAACGTCAAGGCGTAATCTGCTAGACCACTGAGGCGAATAAACTAGCATATTCAGTTGGTATTGATGAAGAAGTGCTACTGAAGCCTTATGCTCTACTAGGAACCCAAAGGACAAAAAATAATAATCTTTAGAATTTGACCATCAATGAGACGTAATGAAACAGTTCACGAATTGACTGTTTGGAGTTTCGATCTTTCCAACTTCTGATATGAACTCTCAGATCCTATGTTAGCTACCTCTGTTCATATCTAAATTAAATGTTTGACATTAGCCAGTCAATATTATATTCTTTTGCTTTTATCGTTTTATATTACATATATATTATTTCATACTACTCAAAACGTTTTAAAGTAGTTAAGCATAAATGCAAATTTAAGATTCGGAAAACACTTCTACGCAATAGATGGGAATAGTTGCACAGAATCGAAGGAAATACCAAATTCACGACCCAAGGTCCAAACAATAGGTCTTGGTTAAACCAAACTTTAAAAAGTCAGTTAGGTGCTGACTGTAAAATGTTTAAAAACACCAGCGCAAAATATATACGTTACCAACCGCTTAGTGCCATATATGATTGGAAGTTTTTCCAATTATGTTAGTATTATTATTATTATTATTATTAGTCACTTGGGTTCCTAGTGGAACATAGGGCTTCAATAGAACGTCTCCATTCCACTCTCTTCTCTGAAATCTTTCGAACCTGGCTCCACGACAGCCCACAAGCTCTCGTTTCCTCCTCGCATGATCTCCTCCATGTCACCCTCATCTCGGACGCCCAACTCGTCGCTTCCCATGGGGATTCCACTCGAGCAACTGGCCTGACGCGTGATGTCCCCAGTCCACCTTCTCAGTGTATGCACAATCCAATCCAATCCATCTCCACTTCCTTCCAGGGCATATTTGTTGAGCGATGGGTTCTTGGTTGGTTCGTTCCCAGAACTCCTTGTTGCTTATTATTTCTGGCAATCCATCTGATCTTCAGTATCGAGCCAGTGTAGGCAGTTGTTGATGAATGTCTGTAGTTTATTGGAAATCCCTTTCCTAAGCCACCAAGTCTCTGAACCATACAGAAGCACTGACTTGACGTTGGTGTTCGAAATCCGGATCTTGTTCCGCATGCTGAGTGCAGTGGAGTAAATCACCACACTGGTTTCAGGCTAATGAACGTCTGTCTTGCTTTTCCGATCCTGGCTGACTTTGACATCCTCGTCTGTGCCTGTGGCGCCTGTAGTTGAAACAGTGCTGCCTAGATAGGTGTAGGTGAAGGAGGTTACTTCCTTTAAGTTTCTCCCGTTGATGGTGACTGGAGTAAGTGTTGTTGTTGTTGGAGTTGTTGGTGCGGTATCTTCATCACCTCTGTCTTCTCTATATTCACCTGAAGTCCCGTGTTCGCTGCCCTGCCTCTTCTGCCAACTTGTTAGTTTTCGCCTCTAGATCTTCCAGTTTGTGTGACATCAAGCACAAGTCATCGACGAAATCCAGATCTTCTCGGTTCTTTTCCGCAGTCCAGTGTACCTCCCTCTTCTCGCTCCCCACTGTTTGCTGCATGATCCAGTCGACCACAACACAATCATGAATATCATGGGGGATAGTAGGTGGCAAGCTTGTTTCACTCCTGTCTCCACTCCACTTCACTTCACTTCAAAAGCATCACTGAGCTTCCCATTGTGAATTACTTGGCTGGTATGTGGCGTCTTCATATAGTTGTTGAATGAGGCTGATAAAGGTTTGCGGTACTCCGTAGTAGTGAAGCAGTTTCGAAATTACCTCTCGGTGGACGTTGTCAAAGGCCTTATCGAAGTCGATAAAGTTGAGGTAGAGTTGAGTTGACTGCCATCCTATACTCTGTTCTATGATGATGCGTGGTGTGGCGTTGCAATTTGGTCGGCACATGATTTGTACTTCCTGAATGCAGCCAGCCTGTTCCGGTCGTAGTTTCGAATCCAGTGCATCCTTTAGTCTCTCCAGGATGATGCGGCTTGATATTTTGCTTGCTCTGGGTGGACAGGAGAGTGATTCTGCGCCAGTTCTTGCAAACACTCAGGTTTCCCTTCTTCGGCAGTTTGACAAGGTAACCCTTCTTCCAATCAATGGCCAGGTACCTCTCCTTCCTTCCACACCTTCTGCAATAGTGGTGTGGTGTGAGCATGTCCACTGTTGTCTCTGAGTCTGTTCTCAGTGCTTCTGGTGGGATCCCATCTGGTCCTGTTGCTTTCCCACATTTCAGTAGCTTTATGGCGTTCAGGACTTCCACTTTTGTTGGGGGATTTATGTTCACTTGTTCACTTGGTTGTAGGTGGTATTTGT